AAAAAGTTTAAAGGTTTTTTTTTTTTTTTTTTTTTTTTTTTTTTTTGTGAGAAAGGAATAGATTTAGATATAATTATTTAGTCATCATTTTTATTACATGTAGTATATTCATAAAAAATATATATATTTACCGAATTTATTGATCATTTTTTTTTGTCAAAATAGATCTTAAAAGTATTGTTTTTATTTTAAAATATGTGTAATGTACATTTTAATTGATTTTTTTATGATTTGCACTCATTTTGAAGCAAATTTAAATGTGGAGGATTGATTTACATAAAAAATTAGCATTATTTTTATAAATAATAAGGTCTAACAATTCCGAAATTTAACATGCAAGAATATGATTTAGGCTTTATTCGGAATAGTTTTCTTACTAATTTTCACAATAACTTTCTTATAAAATTTTTCACTCCGACAACAATATCATATCACAGGATCAAACGGAGACTGCTTCCAAATGTCTTGCTTTCCCTCGACCCAAATTGTCTGGTTCGTTTTCCCCTTTGTTCATCTTTCACAACTCGCAATCTCGAGCACAGCTTTCTTTTTCCTTTTCGCTCCTCTCTCGGCATGTTATTTGCATTCTTAATTTTTATCTTACAACTCCTCTTAACTCCAGTAATGAGAAGGCAAACAGAACTATTTTAATGTATTATGACATTCAAGATGAGATGACAAACTGCCGAAAAATTAACCGTCTGAAAATCGCCTGAAAATTCTGCCGATAATGAGTAATTTTCTTGTAGTGTTTAATTTAGGCCCCCCCCCCCCACACAAAAAAAAAAGCTCCGCCACAGCCAAAAGTCGAATGAATAAAATTTCTGACTCCGCCACTATTTCGGACTATGTATGAATTAAGTATGGACTGCATATAACTTGTATACTTACTGTATATATATAAGGTTGTCTCTTGCCATCTTTTAAACTAAACAATATTCTCTTTGTATCTCCTATACAAATTTCAAAATAAAGCTTTCCAATGGCCGGAACTTCAAAGTATGCGCATTAATAATATGGTTAGATCAATATACATATAAAAGTTTTAATAACTTGAGATAGATAACTTGTAATCATATCATGGCTCTCAAGAAAGAGTCTCAACAAGCATGAATCAATTTGTGACATTCCAGGCATTTCCCTTAAGAACGCAAACGAAAATCGGTACAAAACAAATCTGTCTAATCAAAACTTAAATCAAATCAAATCAAAATCAAAATCACTTAAAGCAAAACAAATCAATAAATAATGCAATCATCACTATAACTCTGGATATAAGCAAATCCTTTCACTACACTCACTCTGATACCAATTTGTGACATTCCAGGCATCTATAGTGAAATGATTCATCGACATACTTTTCTTCTTATTCTTTCTTCTTGCTCAGATCAATACAGATATCCAGAAATGATAATTGCATTAAAGAAAACGAATACATCATAAAACTATAATTCACATTACGACATTTCCTAATTACAATCTTAAAAGTGGGGTCCAAAAGAACATATACAATGGCCGCATAGGCTACAAAACAATGCATGAACCAAAAACTACGAAAAACTATATTAGTGGCTAAAAGAAGCTTCATGAGGGAGGCTTTGTACCTGAAATCATTAACGACATATAATGAGCTTAAATAGCCCAACAGATCACCAAAGCCTACAGCTGAAATCAAAGCACGGTACAGAAATAATATGCATATCAATCAGTCAAATCAATAACAGTCACTTACACATAATCATTTAATCTATGCAGATATGAAAATCAGTAATCAATGCATAATCAATAAAATCTACAGTAATCGGTAGAAGAATCAGTAAACAGTAGGAAAATCCATAGAGAAAATCGTCAAATCAGTAATATCAATCAAATTAATATCGTATCAATAACATCAATCAATCGCATCAATAGAATCAATCAAATCATTGAATAAAGAAATCATCTCTAGTTAATAATATCAATCGGTATGAAATCATATAAAATAATCAAATCGATACATCATAAGAATAGTTGAAATCAATTAATAAAGTAAAATCATATTCTATATCACGTGCTCAGTAAATCACATGAATTCCAGTTAATCCATATCACTTGTTCGGTGTATCGCATGTTATCAGTGTATCACATGTATCGCATGTATCAGTCAGTATTTGATGTATCACTTGCTATAAGATCAGTACAATGAATCGGTAGTATCGGTCATGAATCAATGATATCAATGAATTAGTAGTAGAATCGGTAAACAGTATGCAATATCAATGAAATCGTGCAGTGACAGTAAACTCACAAATCCGTCAGTAAATCCATTCAATTTCAATAAATCCGTCGATATCAATAAATTCATATATAAATCAATAAATTCGTTCAATATCGATAAACCATTTCAATATCGGTAAATCATAAAGTAATCATAAGAATAATACTTTACACATGCATTCCAGTACAGTAGTCTTACTTAACAAGTACAATCACTAGCTATTAAGGCATTTTTCAAAGTTAGTATCAGTGTTACTAATCAGTTGGCTAAGTAAATAAAGTCGTCACCCTTGCCTGTCGGCACAGTAATCTCCTTATAACTCCCTTCAGTAATCACGTGATCAGTAGAGGATAACACCAAATCCTTTTTAAAGGAAAGCTTGTCGGCCCACCATCCTATACAATAATACTAACCATACAGATTTTCATAATTTTCTTCAATTCGTCCCGTACTAAGGTCAGTTCGTACAGACTAACTGCACTAAAAAAAATGAAATTTGGAGGGGTTTTACATTTGGTGCATGTAGAATATTGATCATTAAAAGATAAGCATAATATTAAGTTAAGTGTTTGAGAATGCTTAGGTGGATGAGTGACTTTACTCTTAAATTAATAAAGGTAGAGGTATGAACCTAAAAATTTCATAATATTAAGTGAAGTGTTGCATAGATAAGGTTAAAATTCATAATAAATTTAATTAAAAATAAAAAAAAGCGTTACAAAGTAGGTGCAAAAATGAGCAGCACAACTATCCATGAAAACTCCTAAAATCATCTCTTTGCTTATTATTTAATTTTTTTTAATTGGCACAGATCTAATTATTTGGTTGTAGGAATTTATAGCACTAATCTGTTATGGATATTCAAAAGTAATTACAGAAGTTGGATGTATAACCGGTTGTTGCCTGGACGCAAGATATTAACAGATGAATTTATGCAGGAAATCAATCAGCACCTCCATTGGCCGAGCAGAACATCAAACATACATATTCCGATGAGATTGTCGTCTAAGATGGCTTTTGATATATTTTATGTCATTTGATGTATAAATTATGTTGAAATTGAAAGTGTTATAACTTTTGTTGAATTTTACTGAATATGGTTAATTGTTTGTTCATTAATTTGTGTTGTTTGAGTATTATTCTTTATTATATTTATTTTTCATAATTGTCAGGATTATTAATGTTGGAAAGCCCAAAAAATGATTGTAGAAGATTTTTTTTATGCTATAGTTTGCACATATTTGTGGAAAAATTTTGACGCAAATGTCGATACGACATCTAGTATCGACGTTTGTGACGGATCCATCTGTCACAAATTATGGCGGATTATCCGCCACAAATCCGCCAAAATTTGAGACGGAATCTACGGCGGATCGCATAAATGAAGTTGTTGTTTCAATAGAGATTATTCCGTCACAAATCCGCCACAAAAATTTTGCGTCGGATTTTGTTTGTCTCAAATATGCTTGTGATGTCCATTTTAACATCGTTCCATATATATGTCGCAAATCCATCGTAAATCAAGATTTGCAACGGATTTCTCGAGTTTAGCGATGGATTTTTCCGCCACAAATAGCTGCTTTGTCTGTAGTGTGGATAGCTTGGATTGTTTATAACTAGCATGTGTAAACAAGCATGTGTCGTCCTCTTTTCTTTCATAAGCATTCTTTGTGCTTGTGAGAATTGTAAGGCATGCATCTTTTTCAATCTACTTGATAGAATACACATATTTAATAATTTAAATTTTCTTCCTCATTTTGATATTATGAGGTTAACTATAGAAAAAAATAATTCAAAGTTAATGATAAAGCATCTCACGATCGAGTTGGGCCAACAGTCAATTATCTTTATAACTAAGTTATTTAAAGTTGAATAGTTTAAAATGAATGATCATAAAGTTCTAACAAAGATTATTTTTACATTTATTGGATCATTAACATCCACCCACTACTCAATCTTTGACAATTCAATGATCATAATCACCTATGCTTTTTTTTTTTTTGGATGAAGAAACATCTCACTTTGTTATGGTGATTCATCATGTATTTTGTGGAGAGTAGTCTTTAAATCATAGTATTCCAAGATATTAACACAAGTAAATCAAAATAAAAGTATGTTTCATTCCCCCTATGAATTTATAGAAGTGCAACATATACCTTCTTCTTTATATATCTAATATGATGGGTTTGATGGCAATATAACATGAGCCATCATGGCTATGCCATATAAGATAAACACAATGATAATTGAGATTTCACGATTAAAGCATCAATGATGCTGATATTATGGACATGGACAAATGCATCACATTTTTTGTCTAGAGGCCTTATGAATATTTTTTTAATGTGAAATAAACATAGCTATATGAGACACTAATATGACCAAAGGCTTCATTAACTTTTTGCCTAGAAGCCCCAAAATTATGCCCCCATTCAAAAAAAAAAGCTTTGGCTCTACCCCTAAATGTATGATGTATTCTCAAACAAAGATTCACCCATTGACTACCATGAAAGCTTAGGGATCATGCATATGATATTTGCTCAAGACCATTCATCAAATCCTCAAAATCATAGCCATCCCATATATACTCATGCATGAGTCATCATTAAGGTTTAATGAATTAACCTCCAATATGGGTTATAGATAGGGTTGATCTTCCCTCACCACAATATTAAATCTCATGAATGCATGATGTATCCTCACACAAAGATTCACCCATTGACAAGTTCATCTTGTATGAATAGAATGGCGTGCATATATATATA